GTGCAGACATAGAATTCATGATGATGTAATAATGAGTAACACTACACTCTCCTAAATTTACATTCAAATATTCACTTGTTAGCCAATTAAATATAAAAAATATATAATTGCGATTTCGCTATGAGTTATAATCGTTTAGATAAAATCCATCCTGTAACTCTAGTAATTAATTGGCAAAAGATCATAATGAAGTAAACTAGTTTAAGTTGTCTTTAATTGTCTATCTCAAACTAAGAAACTCGATCAATTGACAATTTTCACGAAGAGTCAAATTTTGAAATTTATAGTTACCAAGTCAACTGTCCGACTAACTTGTATTGATTAGAGTTGTCCAGAGTGATAATACACATGATATGTGTATACGTATGTGTAGGTGTTGAGCAGTTGTTCGGAGCCGATCAAATTCAATATCCTGCCCTCGTATCGTAACGCTTACTACTACGTAAATATAAATAAATAAAGTTGTATCTTCATTACTAGTTATACCTTTTTGGTGTAATGATAAGCGTTTGATCCTACAATAGATATTAGAGAAAGGGTCACGAGAATTCCTCCTTCACTAGTAGCTATAACTTTCGACATAGCGGGAAGTATTTGACCCTACACTAGGATTTTTCTCTTAATAAAAAAAGAAGATAATTTCATTTTTGAAATTAAATTACCATGCATATATAGTTAATTGCATACATACATTTCTCTCTCTCTCTCTCTCTCTAAATGTATATATATATATATGTAGGTGCATCTAGATTGATGCATGCAGTGTTGTGTAAGAAGGGGGTGCATGTGGAATATTCCCACGCATAAGTATGCTGTATGTATAACATGATGGAATAGGTAGGGGGGTAGAGAGGGGTGTAGCTATATATGTGCCAACAAATATATGTGAGATGATATGTGCAACAATCCAAAACAAGAATCACGAGAACCCCATATAACACTAAAACAAAACAAAGAAAACATCAAAACATTATAATTAAAGTAAACCCCAAAAACCAAAAAGAAAAAGAAAAAGAGCCCAGTATACATAATAATATTTATATACATATTCAGAGAGAGAGAGAGAGAGAGAGAGGGCCTCTTTTGTTTCTGTCTGTCTCCATGTCAGCCGCTGAACGTGTGCAGACCAGAGGTGAGAGCAGTCTAGTACTGCCGTAAAAGAAGCCCAGCCAAAGGGTGTGTGAACTGTAAACAGGTTGCCTGCCTGCCTGCCTGTATGTATATGTGTATGTATATATATATATAGATAGATATATATGTGTGTGTACATACACTCCAAGAGAGAATAAAAGGGTTACGTTGAGTTGAGTTCATAAAGAAGGTTTAGGAGTCTTCTTCTGAGACTTAAGTGGTATTGGGACTTGAAACTGACACTACTCTGTGTCTTTGCCTTCCTTCTCATCTTAATTTATTTATTTAATTTTCAAGAATATTTATAAATATAATTTTAATCATTATATTATTGTAATTAACCATAATTTGTAGGTATTGGGTTGATTCCTAAGTAAAAATCTTTTATTAGAATATTTTAAAATTTCTATTAAATATTATTGATGCTTTATTATTTATCAAATATAATCATGGATGTCTTAGGAGTACATATATATCATATATTATACAGAGAGTGAAGAAAATAATCAATAGTACCGGGTATAATTTATATTAAAATAATGCACTGTTATATCTGTATAAAAGACACCAGTATTGACATGATAGACTTTCCTTTTATAATATGTAATTTTTTTATTTTATAATAATAACAAAAAAAAATCATTGTTTCAAAAAATGTAAAAGGAAAATCACACCGCTTTCAACCTTCTTGTATATTTAGTCAACTCCAAGTATCTTATATTGTTATATATTGTTCCAATAACCTATCTCTCACATGCTCCGTTTACATGTACCGTTAAAATAAGAAATATTATTGATTTGCATTATACTGACCATCTAAGTTGGTTTATTTCTTTGTAATTCTTTTTCAGTTAGAGTTACAATATGAATTTTACCTAAAGCGTACATTTAAATATTAATTGTGAACTTTTTCATAAATTAAATAAATATATAAATATCTTTTTCAACCAAGATTATGACACAAGGTAATATAATAAAGATTACTAACGTAACCTTGGGGCTTGGCAATGTAGTACAAAGGAAGATTTAATGTTGAAGGGTTTGATGATGATTAACGTAGTAATGAAGGAATTAAGAATTAAAAGGTTTGGCTTAATGAGGAAGCTGGGCGGGAGTTTTAAGAAAGTTTGTTTGTAGGGTAATATAGAACGGACATGCATAAATAAATGGAGAACAACCATGCATAAAAGGTGGAAGAAAACAAAGATGTATTGTGGGAGGGAGAAGGATGTGATGATGATAGATGATTGGGGATGAGGAATTATAGCAGTAAAAAAACAACTTTAATTTCTTTTACAAGAATGATCATGAGTATCCAAGCCATGATCAAAATAATCAGTTAAGGTGTCTTGTTGGAATAATTACTCATCATCATTTTCTTATTGTTTCACTTTAGGGCATGTTATATATGTCCCTACTTCTCCACTCCCAAATCTCTTCCCTTATCACAATTGATTAATCACATAATAATGCCTAACCTTTTTTTAAAAACATATTCTTCTACTCTAATTTATTCCTCTTACACAACCATGTATAATTTAATTTAATTGTAAAATACCATTAATCACATTCATAACGAAACCAACTTTTGCAAATATAATTAAGCCTGCTATATAGTTATTCTTAACTCAATCAACACGCACGGTAATCTAATCAGCATAATGATTAATCTTTTTGTGAACTTGACTAATATAAAATTGAAAAATGTTAAAATTAAGATCTTGAGTTTGAATCTGAGACGGAAATTGTAATCTATTTTAAATAAATTTGTTGAGAAGAGAATATATGTTGGATTGTTGGGGCATAATATGATTAGTGAGTACAACGAAGGGAAAAAAAAGTAGTTATGATTTTTGGTGCAATTCATGCCAACTTTACAAGCCAATAGTTGGAACATCTGAGTCATCCAGGTCAGCAAAAGGGAACCCAATAACCCATCCAATAAGCTAGCCAGCCAGGCAGGCAAGGCTACCTAGCTTCAAGTCTTTAATTTGCTTCTTCCATATCATCTATATATCAAAAACCTACAAATTCATTGCATGATTGATTGATTATACGTACTGCAGATATATACAATGGGTGTGTATATATATGTATGTATATATCTTGATGAATGGAATCTTGCACAGAGGGAGAGGGGGACGGAATGGAAGAGAAAAGAAGAAAATGGAAGAGAAGAGAAGATGTGAAATATCGTCAGCATTAGAACACAGCAGACCGGCAGGCTTTAACAAATCCCTTCACCAACATCGATGCATCATTTTACCTTATTTGTCTGCACACAAACAAAACATACATTATATGAAACACTGTTCTTCATAGTTGTAGCTACTTCATACTAATTAATATTATTAAATAAGAAATTACATCAAAAATATTATTAAACTCAACAAATTAAATTTTAAAAAAAAAATAAATAAAAAAGAACTGATTTAACTAAACAGAATAGGTAAAATGGACCGAGGTAATATAAATTAAAATTTTATAGGTCATACTTGTGTGAGACCATCTCACATATTTTTATTTGTGAGATATGTCGGGTCGGGTCGGTTCAATATGGAAATGTAATGCTTATATTGAAAAATGTAATACTTATGAGTAAAAATGTAGTAATATTTACATTTTCCTTCAAAAGTGTTACACTTTCTCATATAGATAATAAACACTTTATTTCTTATTAGTATTATATTTTTTAGTATAAGTATTATATTTTCATCTTGACTCGACCCGTCTCACAAATAATGATTAATGAGACTGTCTCATATAAATTTTGGTAAAAATTTATATTAGTTTCTGTAACAACTTGCTGAATAATCTCCATTCATTAAAAAAAAAAAAAAACCGGATGAAATTAGCATGTCCATCATCCGAAAATTTAGTTCCCTATGTGAACACACACACACATATACATATAATGGGAAGAGAATAGAGTGGGTGTTGGGTTGGTGCCATTAAACAACAAACGAATACTCCAAATTGGAAAAACATGACATGCACTCGTTTTACGTGAAAATTTCACATTTCCCCATTTCCAATTCTTCCACACACACACCCCTACATACATTATTCATCACAAATTCAATTTTGTGGTACCTCTATACCATCCATGAGTATATTATTATGTGAAACATACTACCAAAATCAAATAAATAATCTTGAAAAGATATTTTATGAATTACCATCCAAAAACAAAAATTATATATAATAACCCAACAACTTAAAGCAATAGATAAACATGCAAGTGCATTTGTAAAACTCAATGTTGTATACAACCAAAAAGTTAGTCAAGAGTTCAAACTCGTGTATGCAAACAACACCTTTAAAAATACAATTTAAAATTCGTTATTATTATTCGATGATGTACACTAGGTAAATGTTACCTTGTGATTCTAGCTAGTAAACTACCACACCAGCCTAATTGTCTAAATTAGCTAGCTAACTGATTCAAAACAAGAAAGACAATAAACTTTGTCTGATTGAATCGAACTTGAAACCTTGCCGGACCACTTGTGTAAGCACCCAATACATTTTTTTTACCCTATATATGGTTATGCTTAATTTGGACATTATGGTGTGTGAGCGCCGAATCACAAAATAAGAAGAGAGAGAGAAAGAAGTGTCACGGGTTTGTCTTGAAAGGCCCTAATTTCACAGTCCTATATAGACAAACAGACACATATTCTCTCTCACTACATAACCGAGGCACCATAACATAAACATATACTGCTGCTACTACTACTACCTAGCCTAACATTAACCCCAATCTCTCTCTCTCTCTGTTTCTCTCACTAAATATAACGCTAAATCATCGCTCTCCGCTCCTCCTTTTCACCATCTTCTCCATATATACATATATGCGGTAGTGCAGTGGTGGAAAAGAATAGCTAGGGTGTTCTTGTTGTTCATCAATGGCGTTGATGCTTGACAATTGCGAAGGAATATTACTATCTCTAGACTCCCACAAATCAGTCCCCGCTCCGTTTCTCACCAAAACGTATCAGCTAGTTGACGACCCCGCCACCGACCATATAGTCTCTTGGGGAGAAGACGACACCACCTTCGTCGTCTGGCGGCCGCCGGAGTTCGCACGTGACCTCCTCCCTAACTATTTCAAGCACAACAACTTCTCCTCCTTCGTCCGCCAGCTCAACACTTACGTAAGTATAGTCTTTCAACTGTGTGGGTTAGTTTCCCTTTCTTTGGGTACGTTAAAGATGGGATTTTTATGAGTTTCTTGATTTTCCGGCGATTAGGGTTTTAGGAAGATAGTGCCTGATAGATGGGAGTTCGCTAACGAGTTCTTCAAGAGAGGGGAGAAGCACTTGCTGTGCGAGATCCACCGGAGAAAGACGGCTCAGCCGCCGCCTCCATCGCCGGTCGGCCACCACCAGCAACACTTCAACTATCCCATCACCAGTTCGCCGCCTTTCTTCCAGTACCCGAGCCGGCTCAGCATTTCGCCGCCGGACTCCGATGAGCAGCTCACAACGCCCTATACTAATAATAATAATACCAAAAATAGCAGTTGGTGTGACTCCCCAATATCTGTCACTTTCTCCGCCGCCAGCGCCGGCGCTGGCGGCGGAGGGTGCTTCGGCGGCGGCTCCGTGACGGCGCTTTCGGAGGATAACGAGCGGCTGAGGAGAAGCAACAATATGCTAATGTCGGAGTTGGCTCATATGAGGAAGCTTTACAATGACATAATTTACTTCGTTCAGAACCATGTGAAGCCTGTAACTCCGAGCAACTCTTACCCTTCCTCTTTGCTCCAACCACCGTCTGCCGCCGCCGCTGCCGCCGCCAACCCAATCATTTCTTCTTCTTCTCCGATGGCCCAAAAGCCTCTGAGTCAACTCATCACCTATCATCATCATCATCAACAACCCACAAACCCTAAACGCCAAGGTGGCAGTCTCATCAATCTCACCTCCCAAACACCACAAATCGTTGAAGTGGCGGCGGCCGGCGAGAGTGATCTGGGAAGAACAAAGCTGTTCGGGGTTCCTCTCCAGTCAAAGAAAAGACTCCACCCAGACAACCAATACCCATCTTCCACACCTCCTTCCTCCATGGAGATCACCAATCACAAAGCTCGAGTACTGGCGTTGGAAAAAGATGACTTGGGCTTGAATCTCAAGCCCCCATCTTCATGTTCGTAGGACTTCCATTAATCCCATTCAAGAAAGATCAAGTTTTTTTTTTTTCTTAGTTTTATTCTCCCTTTTCTTCCATATTTCCCTGAGGAGTCCAAGGAAGAGTCTCTGATGATGAGATGAGACGAATGTTTGATTTCTTTGTGTTTGTGTGTGTAAATATATGACTTTAGTAGTTGCAGTTTATCATCTTCTTCCCTCTTCCTAGCTGCTCCAGCCAAAAATGAAGCTTAATTAAAAAATCCTCAATTTAATCAAAGTTCAAATCTTTTTAAACTTCCCACTACTAGTTCCATGTCACAGACTACATTTGCATTTAATTTCTTCTTCTTCTCCCACTTCCCCCTCATTACCCCATTAGTTTCTGGGTTCTTCGTTTTCTGAAAGCTTCAGTTACATTAATTAATGCACGCATGAAAGATATATCAAGAGAGAGAGATGTGAAATAAAGGTTTTCTGTTTTTCAGTTCAACTGAGTACGTAAATAAAGACTCTGGGCTACAACAGCCTTGTCCATTGGCAACTTCTTGCTCTCTGATCTGAGGTTTCTTTCTTTCTCTTTTTTCTCTCTCTGATCAAATGCATTTAATGGATTATACGTACCAAAATGGCTGCTAGCTTCCATCTCCACCAAAAACATTATACGACGTATGTAGTACGTGCTGCTGTTAATTAGTCTCCCACTCGTACACATTTTGAAATCATGAAAAAAGTGAGACAAAAGCAGCGCAGCTGATCTGACTGACAATTTTTTTTTCTTTTCTTTCTTTCATACGAATAATAAAATAATTGTTTGTTTGGTGATGAGTATATGTAAAGATAGTAATTCGGAGGTAATTATTAAGATAATAATCGCAATTATTAACGCCAAGAAAGTAAAGTATGATAGATTTAGGAAAAGAAAAGGTATGATTATGTCTTGTTTGATTGAGATGGAGTTTTATAAGATATCTCCATTTCTAGTTTAATGTGAGCGTACGTGGTCGGTCACGACACACACCCGGAAACAAACAGGAAGATGAGAACAAAATCATGCCCAGATCGAAACTGTAAATATATAGAGAGAGAGAGGTGCTATATATATATATATATATATATATATATATATATATATATATATATATATATATATATATATATATATATATATATATATATATATATATATATATAGAAGATTGGGTTTTTCGATATGATGATGTTGAAACAACGTTAGGGGAAAATGACTAAAATGAGGGTTGTAACGTTTCTATCAAGGCTTCTATACTTCTTCTGAAGAACAGAAAACCTTTGCCTTTTCCCACTTTAAGTATCTGATATATCTCTCCCCTCATTAGTCACTGTTTGGAATTTTTATTATTTGTTTTTATATCTTCTCTCTCTATGATAGTGATGAGTGGTGGATACTGGATAGATGGTGTTTTTGACTGGTTGGTAAAAATCTTGAAAATCCCATCTTTTTTTCTTTCTTTCTACTTTGCTTCATCTTTTGTCCAACCCTTACAATCCCACTAACTTATATTCCATCCATGCCAGCAGTACTACTAAAGTTTGACAAATTTATTTATTTTCACCATATTTTCTAATACTTGAAGACCCTTATCCTAAAAACTAGTTTTTGGTGTTGTGAAAAAACAAAAAAAAACAAAAAAAACAAAAAAAACAAAAAACAAAAAAAAAAACAAAAAAAAAAAAAACTAGTTTTTGGTATTGGATATTGCCTAAACCTTCCTTTTGTCTTTTCCGGATCATGGCACGTGAGGCACTTACTATATAGTAGACCGATCAAAGGATATATATTGAGAAGTGTTAGAAAATAGAAATTCCATTTTCATGACATATATTCACTATTTTACCAAATTAAATTTGTAATCACTAATAAGTAATAAGAGATGTATGTTAAATTCTTACGTTAATGGTAAGTATAAAATAACAAATATATAGCCTGTTTGGTAAAATGGTTGTTAGCTGATAGCTGATTATGTTAATTAGAGGGTATAAATAGTTGATAACATTAGTTGTTTGTAGAAAAGTGTTTGGTAAATTAGTTGTTAGCTGATAGCTGTTTGGTATAAATTCTTTTCTCAAAAAGCTAATTGAAAAAGTTACTTCGAGTAGCTTTTTGAATTTTAGCATTTTGGAGGCAAAAAACTAATTAACCAAACATTTATATTGATATTTTAACTAAATCAAACAATTAATAATTATCAAATAAGCTAAAATTGACATATAGGCCAATTTTTTACCAAACAGGGCCATAGTATATTTTCTTTATGATTAATGACAGCTTAATTAGATTTGAAATCTATATGTTACATACATAGAATATAAGGTAGAATATGAATATGATTGCGGTAGAATGAAAAAAAAAAGTGTTTATTATTAAATATTAAATGTATTAAAGAGTTCGAGTACAAAGTTCTAAATATACAGTGAGCTCGAGGGGCGTGATCGAAAATAAGAATCAGATCTCCTAACTAGCTGGTGGGGATTTCTATTTATAGTAGTGGAGAAGGAGCACACTGTCGAAATCTCTTACACCAAAAGGCTGTGCATAAGGAATCTGCCCACTTTGGACATAATTTCAACACTGCCGCCACCGAAGTTCGAACCTTGATCTCTTACCTCAAATACTGCCCACTAAACTATTGAGCTAAACCCGTGCGGGTCACTGTCGAAATCTCACATATAGGTCTAACGTGACAGCGAGTGGCTAGTAGCTAAGTCAATCATGACACATGTCGAATATTAATGCGATATCTAGAACATTAACAACAAAATTGTCTTCTTCCCCTATTCCCTACTGGGAATGAAGCACCCATATCGAGTTAATCTTACTGTATAATTAACATCATCAATCAACTTATTTTAATTAAGACAATACGTATAACTTAAAATAAAATAGTCGTAGACTCAAACCGTGTACACTTTATACATATCTATCGTTGAATACATACTTGAATAAAGAATAGGTTTGACGTAGGTCTCAAAGTAGAATTGAAGGGGGGTATGATATTTGGGGAATGGGTTGAAAAGAAGAAAGAAAAGGGGAAATACGATAAAGAAGCTTTAAGCCAGTTTGCTTAACAGCCGTATTGGAGAATGACACCAGCTTTGGAAGTAGAGAAAGCAACAAAAGGAGAAGAAGAAGAAGAAGAAATATTACTGGTTTGGTATATGGTGAGACCACTGTCAATACAAATTAAATTACTCCATTTTTGCTTCGTTTAGTCTTTTGATTGCACCTTTTTCTTGACATTTTCTTGGAATCTAGCCTTGATAGTATAAACTCCTTTATTGACAATGCAAAAACTTTCACAGTACTTCTGATCTGTAATAAAATACATGTAGTTGTGGCTTTTAATTTCTTGGAAAGTTTTTTTTTTTTTTTTTTTGGGTGGTGAAAATTTGTGCAATCATTTTGAGTTGTGCTTCCAAGATTTTTTTAATGTTTTTTTTTTGGGGGCACTTTTATGGTTAATAATTGTGTGGAGAAGGTTGTGGTTATAATTATGACCTGTGATCTAGGATAAATTGATTTCAAGATTGCTTAGCTTCTGGAATCAATCTTGATTTCAATGGGGATCTTGGAAAGATCTGGGCAATGTCGTAATCAATGCAGATCTTCAAAGCAAATTGATTAGGTTGCTTTGACTTCTTCATGTGTGTGAGTAATCACTAATCAATCTTTGGATATATTGTTGTTAATTATGGAAGAAAGAGATTTGGTCCATTTGGAGATCAATCAGGCATGAGAGACAGTATGGGAAAATGACCTTCCAAGAATGACATGTTAAGTTATCATTTAATGGAGGAACAAATAAAACTACATCAATCGTGGCAAGATCAATGTTATATATATATATATATATATACACACACACACACAAGTACACAGAGAGAGAATGAGATCCAGCCCAAACTATTCCAGTTTGCCACAGATTCTTGGGCTGGGGTTTACTGTATTTACTTTCTCTACATTTTATATAGCTATTTTTTGTTCATATTTTGATTAGTTTGGGCTTGCATTGTAACACCTGAGAGAGTCTACTTAGCATCATTGAGACATTAAGCTACAAAATTTTGATATAGAAGCATCATGTTTATGAAACAACATACACATTTTAATTTTCACAAACTAAAGTCAAGGAGCAATAATACACATGATACAACACTATTCATCGATTCAATTACATACAGATTCAATTTTTGACGGCTTGCAGAATGTTACAAAATACCATGTACCTTTGAATACAGCGATGGATGAAGCAGATACGAAACTGTATAACGCTTCGAGTGTCGAAGTGGATCCCAGCCGTATGTACACTGTCCATAAATACCATTAACCTGCGAGTATACAAGCAAGAAACACAAATAAATAGAGCACGCGGTCTCAGATTGGAAGAAAGTTGAACCATCAAAACACTGGCTTAAAGACGTTACCTGACAACTGAACCTCCACATGACAGAATGAAGGGTACCTTCATGTGACTAAAATGCAGGGCATGTAAAACAGCCACTCAAGGAGCCCATTCTGCGTGTTGGGCGGAAGGATAAGGCTTTGCGGGAGGAGGCTCTTGTAACTTCATGACCCTGGGTAGTTACCATTGAGCTTCTCATCTCTTCCGCTTTTTTCTGGGAAGTTCTTAATTTGTTCATAATCTTAGTCATGGATGATGATCTCTTTTTCTCGAGTTTCATCTGACATTTGTAAAGTTGTTTAGCATTAATTGTATATACAATTGCATTTCAATATTGTATTGTATATGCTAGCATTTCCTTAGAGACTCAACTAATACTATATCCATGACTCCATGAGTAGGGTGAATGGGAAATTAGTGGTATAACACACTTTTCAAAAATTATAAAAGTTTAATATCATAATGAAGTAATCAAGTAGACAACCTCAAGTTTTCGGATTGCTGCCTCAGCTTTTGCCTTTTGCAAGTTCTCCCAAGCAGTTATTCTGGCTTCTTCCCTCTTGATCCTGAAATACATACAATTTCAACCCATCTTAACTGACCAGCTTATTTTTATAACCTTAAAAATTTCTAACAATGGGCAGAGTACAAAGTTAAAAATGACTAAGACATTACCATTCTACACTTACTTGGAAGCAGATTTTGTTTCTGAAATTTCCCGGCCAGCAGAATGCATCTCCGTGGCTTGAGTTTTCCAGTTATCAATATTTTCCAGGCTGCTCCCAGGGATTCGAGCCCTATGTTTCTTTGACCACCTTGTCATGGTGACCCGTTCATCAACCGCCACATCCTTGACTTCTGCTCTAGAGGGATGGAAACTCTGCACTTCCACAAATGGTACAATAGAGGGCGTCGAAGAAGAGAATGATGAGCGTCTCCTTGGAGATGAGTGGGGACTAGCCTCAGGGCTCATTTGAGTTGCCATATCCCGCCTTGAAACAACACGAGATACATTGGCAGCTGCATCTTTGTCACTTCTGCTCTCATCATCTATACATCCAAATACCAATTATAATGTTACCAAAATCTTATCACAAGTCAGAAGCAAATGATAGAATCCACATTCACAATTCTTAAGAGTCTAAAGACCAAAGAAGTGGTAATGAGCAAAGGAAATAAATAGAAGTGAAAATGAATTCCAAATGAATGGAATTCCCCATACACCAACTATCTAAACTTCTACCTTGGGGAGCAATCATTGAGGATAAGCTCAGAAGTTCAGAACATCCATGGATGCTAATAGACCTTGCCATGCATGGCTCTGAGCATGCAACATAGTTTCCATTGGCATCATGGCCTCCATCATGAATTGATAAACCATCGGTTTTCATCACCCTTGTAGAAAAAGGAGAATTTGCTATACTTTTTCCTCTAGAGACAGGCACTGCTGGAGAATATAACGAGTAGTATGCAGCCCCGGGGGGGCCAAGTGGCCCACTCTTGGATTTGCGCTGCTTCTGTGGCTGCTGCAATGAAGTCTTCGTTGCACCATCTCCTGATACTGGACTAAAGATCCATCTCTCTGCATCTTCCCATTTCGAAGGTAAGTTCCTTCCATTATTAAAAGGCAGCAACAAAGTATTGCATTTACTCCTATTTGCACTTGTATGTGACGACACACGCTCTGAAGTCCAGCCTTTCTGAATCCCTGCACTGGAATGGCGGTAATTTGGAGTTCCAGGGCTCGGAAATGCACCAGAATGGCCAGTGATAGATTCTTTCTTCATGACTCCAAATCGCGGTGAAGATGAAATTGTGGCATTGATCACAGAGTTTTTCAGATCTAATGAAGCCAGGCTTTGCCTATCTGATTTGTTCAATACAGCTTCAGATCTATACCTGCTTTCTTGGCATTCTATTCAGTTAAAAAGTAGAGAAAAAGTCAACTAAAGATCCCAAATATGTATATTGAATTGTTCTATTCCTTTTATACAAGTGGGAGAACCTTTAAGAGCTTGAGAGAAGGATCTTCTTGAAGAACCAAAAGCCAGATATTCATCCTCTGTATCAGCTTCCTTGCTGTCTGCTTTTTGAACTGAAACACAACAGGGGTTGTGAATAAAACAACTTTTGAGTAGACATATCTTTGTTAGTTACTTATTTCTTTCATCAAAGCTTAAGAATCAGAGGACGAAAGACTACCTTTCACTTTTCCTTTTTTGCCAAAGTGATTATTCTTGGATACAACTGGTTTGTTTGGATCTGGAGCTGGATCACATGAAGCCTCACGGATTTCATGTGCTGTCAAATGCTGATTCAAATCAAATTTTCAAAGCCAATTAGATTCCAGTCACGGTGAAGATTTTAGGCACCGCAATTACTATCAGAAAAAAAAAAAAAAAACAACAACAAAAACGAAAACCAGTTTAGTCTTACTCGTTCAATCATTTTCTCTCATTACGCAAAAGCATAAAAACACATACATACATTATCGTCATATATCGCATAAAATTTCAACCGCAGTGTGGAGAGAGATTGCAGAAACGTAGACGAAAGACGAACATATTATAACATAATACGGACTGATAATTAAGACGGTGAAATGAGATTACCGATTGAGGAGGATTGTGGAAGCAGGAGTCGTCGGAGGCGAAGGAGCAGCGTTCCGCGCTGCCGGAAGCGGAGGAGAAGAGACTGAAGCTGGAGTCGGCTGTGAAGATAACAGAATCCGGACTGACGTCCCGCGGTCTGAAGCCGGACCGGTGATCCTGAAACCCTAGCTCCGGCATTGCTAATTTGCCTTCACTTCCAGCTCAAAGAGAGAGTAATGATGCGGTTACTGCGAGTTCTTCTTCCTTTTTCAACTTCCTGCAGGGTTTTATTGTACATTTGTACGTACAATGCCCAAAAAGTGTCAGGTCTTTTGGGACAACTATGGCCTATGGGGGAGCGTGGCCATTGTTAAATCATATGATGTTCTGTCCTTCCGTCCTTCGTCACTATCTAGGATTCGCTTCCATTTGACTGATATTATTACCTGTACTCCTCATTTCTCCTACCATTATTTTATGCTCTATTTTCTTTTTGTGTGGTTAGAGCATCCACAATGGTTTGGGAGAATGGGGAGAGAATGTAAGAGTAATTAGGAAAGAGAAGATGAAAGGGGAGAAAGAAAAAGAAAACAAAAATAAATTAAAATTGATTTTTGAAAAAAAAAATATAAAAGTATTAGTGTCATGCGCGCCTGACGCGCCCGTATGGGCAGGTGCTGTGCGCGCACAGCACCTTTTCTTCTTCATTTTGTCTTCCTGACAATATTTTTAAATTAGCAAGAGGAATTCTTCCCCAAATAAATCTTCCCTACATTAGCTTTGAACTCAAACAAGGAGATTTAATCTGACATGCTCCCCACATTCTCCCCTTAGTGTGGATGCTCTTAGTAACATCAGTTCGAGCCTCAGTGAGATAGTATTGACTCTTTGTGTTTTAACATGTTGAGAAAGTATAAAAAAACACCAAGTTCAAGGTGTGTATTAGATAAATTATAAATCATATTAAAAAATGTGTTAATGACCTGGTCTAGTGGTCCTCTTGTATAAAAGGTTATGAATTTGACTTTTTGTGGTTCAATAAGTTCCTGCCTCAGAAAGTAGTTATGAACAGAGTTCATAAAACTTATAATTATAATGTTTTTTAATATTGAACATGAATTTTGGTCTATGACCCGTACAAAATGTTAGTATAACAATAATAACATTGAATCGTGGGTGTATCATTTTATTACAGTGGCATTCCTACTTTGCTGCCACTTTGCAATAGTTAAATTGGAAATTGAAGTACAGACCCCCCACGTGAGTTGATAGGCAAAGCCCAAAAGAGAAGTTGGAGCGTCATGATAACATGATTTATGCCGCCCAAACCGGTCATCTGATATTTGCAGAACAGAAACCGTTCATGCAACAACGTGGACATCTGATCCCAAAGGATAAGCGGAGTAAATAGATTATAATGCTGGTATAAAAAATTATAAATTTGATTTTTATTAACATTTTTTTAATGGAATAAGGTTCAAATTGGCTACTGAACGTAACTTGAAAGTGCAATTAGGTCACTAAACGAGAAAAAAAGTGCAATTAGGCCACTGAACACTCCAAAAATGTGCAATTTCACCTGATAGCAGGTTACCCTCAATTTTAGCAGGTTATCTGCTTACGTGGCAGCTGAGTTGGCATTTTTAATAAATTTTAATTAATTTTTAATAAATTTTAATAATAAATTTTTATTAAAAATTTTTTTTAAAAAATAAAAACGACTTTATTTTATGTTTTATTTAATTTTTTCCAATTTTTTATAAAATTTATTATTAAAATTAATTATTAAAAATTATTAAAAATGCCAACTAAGCTGCCACGTAAGCAGGTAACCTGCTAAAATTGATGGTAACCTGCTATCCGGTAAAATTGCATACGTTTGGAGAGTTCAGTGGCCTAATTGCACTTTTTTTTTCGTTCAGTGGCCTAATTGCATTTTCAGGTTACGTTCAGTGGCCAATTTGAACCTTATTCCTTTTTTAATTGAATCCGTTGTTACATAGAAGTCTTTATAGTGTAATTTATGAACTATTACACATATATGGTATTTATTATACACATACTTTTAGATAAAGACTCTGTGTTTTTTTTTTTTAGGGAAAATCAACGATTTGGTCCCTCAATTGTTAGCGAAATATCAATGTAGTCCCTTAATCGCGAAATCATCGATTTAGTCCCTGGAAATAACTGTTTTTAGTTGATTTGGCCCCTCCGACCGTTCCCCGTTGAAAATCCGGCGAGAGCTCCGATTTGCCATGGGCAATTTGGTCTTTTCACCCCATATTCTTCATCCGATGCATGAATAGTGTCATGATGATCAAAACCCAGACACCGGCATTGCTCCAGCCACCGGGAATGAGATGCAATTCCGGTCCTTCAAATGCTGCAATCCAATGCCCAACTGCAACCCCAGCACAGAATAACAGCTTCTGAAAATTAGGAAGGTTAATATCCCACTTGGGATCGTGCTCTCTTGGGAAGAAATCACCATATAGACGCTTCCGAACACTCACATTGAAGAAAAAGAAGTAATGGTATACGAAAAAGAACACGAATGGCCATCCTTCGAGAAATCCATTGAAGTGAGCATATGGGATTAATGTCAGCCAAGTAAATGTCGAAGTAACAATGGCAAGTTGCTCAAACACATTGGCATCACCGCGCAAATGTTTGTTAAGGCAATAAAACCCGTATGCTGCAATCCCAATCGCCGCCATCCATGGCCAGAACAGCCAACTCCAGCTAAAATACATCCAGAAGAATGGATTGAACACTACATTGACAATCCACTTAGGCACTGCAATTGCAATTGCAATCACCACAGACCACTTGCACAAGTCCAAGGGGGGTTAGCTGAGAAAAGCTTGATTTTATCAATTCTGCAGAGAGATTTTTCAGGCTTTCCAGGAACAAGGTCAGCTGAGAAAAGTTTGATTTTATCAATTGCACAGAGTGATTTCTCAGGCTATTCAAGAACAGGGTCAGCTCAGAAATGTTTGATTTTATCAATTCCACCGAGAGATTTCTCAGGCTATTCCTGAACATGATCCCATCATCAGTCTTTGCAGTTGAGTGTGAACCGGAGCATTTCAATGGCAGTAAAGAAACACGTTCAGACGATTTCTGTAATGTCAGAAAAGAACTCAAATGGGTCTTGCTGAGCTTGAAGCATGCGTTGGTGTGTAAATTCTTCGCTGGAAAAGTGTCTTCCAAGTGTTTGTGACTATGTCTGAAAGAAACTGCATTAAAGGGTCGGTGGAGGAAGAATATGGGGTGAAAAGACCAAATTGCCCATGGTAAATCGGAGCTCTCGCCGGATTTTCAACGGGGAACGGTCGGAGGGGCCAAATCAACTAAAAACAGTTATTTTCAGGGACTAAATCGATGATTTCGCGATTAAGGGACTACATTGATATTTCGCTAACAATTGAGGGACCAAATCGTTGATTTTTCCTTTTTTTTTTTATTAAAAAAAAAACATGGACAGGTGAGGAGAAAATTAGATGGGAAATGGCACTATGGCAGCAAATAAGTCAAATTATTGGAAATTCAACTTTATATGCCCTTTACATGGTCCAATTCATCAACGATACAAATGGTTTTGTTTGTATTATGATATATATATATATATATATATATATATATATATATATATATATATATATATATATATATATATATATATATATATTTATTTATTTATTTATGAATAAAAAAATTTATACAATTTTATTTAGGGCATATTTTTTTAAGATAAAAAAAAGTGCATAAAATGTATGATACAATATAATTGTTGCCAAAACAAGTCTTTATATAATTATATCCTTGTATGTTTTTTCGTGACTTTTATCGTTAGTTTTTATTCTTATGAAATAATGTGTAGTAGTATTTTTTTTTCCGTGAATTTTATCGTTAGCTTTTATTTTTATGGAATATTGTGTAGTAGTAGTAATGATAAGGTATGGTTATTTTTAAATTTTGTTTATGGTTTCTTGTCTTAATGCCTTTCCATTACATGCCCTACTCTTTCCCAAGTTAAATTTTAATTTTTTTGCCTTTGATTTAGTAGTCAAAAATAAAAATACAGCTCATCCCGATAGAACTAACTCAAGTGATAAATCAAAATCAATACTCCCTCAGCAGAGTGAGAATTTGACTCACACCACTAAGATCATGTTTGAATTGAATATGCTTACTAACTATTTTTTAATACCAAAAAATATAATAATAAACATTTTACAATCGAATATTGTAGCAAACGTACATTGAATAATCAATGTTATATCCCAAATATGACCATCTTATGATATATATATATATATATATATATATATATATATATATATATATATATATATATATATTAGTAATATAATCTACTATACTAATAAGAGCCCAAGAGAGTTAGGCCTATAATGGGTAGAAAAAATGGCGGTCATAGATTTTAATTAAATGAATGGCTCAGATTGATTGAAAGATTGATCAGATTTAAATTTTACATTAAAATTTTCTAAAATACCCACACACCGTTACTAATTCCGTTAAAATTTTAAGAATTGCCGTTAGTTCACTGTTAACTTACTCATTGATTTCAATAGAAAAAGGTCTTAGGTTCGAATCTCATCCCAATCAAAATTGGCATAATTAGTACTCTATTTTACTCTTAGAGCCCAAGAGAGTTAGGCCTATAATGGGTAGAAAAAATGGCGGTCACAGATTTTAATTAAATGAATGGCTCAGATTGATTGAAAGATTGATCAGATTTAAATTTTACACTAAAATTTTCTAAAATACCCACACACCGTTACTAATTCCGTTAAAATTTTAAGAATTGCCGTTAGTTCACCGTTAACTTACTCATTGATTTCAATAGAAAAAGGTCTTAGGTTCGAATCTCATCCCAATCAAAATTGGCATAATTAGTACTCTATTTTACTCTTATTAAATTATATAAATAATAATTTAGTAGTTACAACAAAAAATAATACATATGCATTTCTTTAATTTATAATTATGTGTCCATAATGCTTTTATTAAAAAAAAAATCATTATCAATAAATTAACTAAGAGAAATAATTTTATTAGTTATATTGTCTTTATTTTTCTTCAATATAATTTTTTTTTATATTCAAATTTATTAATTGATTATATTCGCTATATTATCCTTACAATGTCTTTATTCAGTGAAAAAAAAATTATTAATTATCAATAAATTAATTAAAAGAAATATTTTCATTAGTTATATTGTCTTTATTTTTTTCAAATGTAATTTTTACATTCAAATTCATCAATTGGTTATATTCACTATATTATCTATTATCTTTTTTCTGCACTACTTTTCTAATTAAATATCAAAGTTATAATACAAAATAATGCTATTTATTTACCAAGTATTTTATTAATACCGT